AATTCGATTGTCACATAGCTTATAAAAATATACAGAAAGGAGTATAAAAAACCAAGTGGTACGTTTCAATTTCGTTTCAGTTATGAATACTACAAATATTTTTTGTTTTAGAGAACACAATATTCTGTTCTACGTCTTCGCCCCGTTGAAAATGACGTGTTCAGCTTTTCTAGTTTAAAGTGCATTATAATATTACTAAAAATCAACCTGTATCAAATTATAAGTTGTTATGTGTAATTTATAAAAAAGCAATAAGTGTCAAGCAAATACTAAAAGTTAGTATTTGGTATTAGTATAGGTCATCAGCTCAAAATAAAACGATAGTTTAATAGAGCAGCATGTATTATTCTGATTGTCTATAATCTATAGTATTTAATGACGAATTTACGCTATTGCGTAGGATTCCCAAAGGCTAAAAGATTTTCAATGAATGCCTTATGTATTGCATCAAAAAGTGTTTATGTGTCAACTACTTATTCTGGACCATCCCTAAACGCAGGGGAAACGGAGCGAGTGCCGTTCTATTCTTTGCCGTGGGGGCACAGAAAACATACTAGTATGTTTTCTGTGGTGGGGGTCATAAACTGTCAAAACCGTCGCATCAGAACAGGTAGGACCGAGTGCCGTTTTTCTCTCCAGAGCGTGATTCAGGGGAGGGGTATTATTGGAAGGGGGTGTATTGGACAGGATTTAATGGATACCGGGTACAGTTTCGTCGATTGAAAATGTCGATTCGATTGGTAAGCATTCATTCAATTTTTTCATTATCAGAAAGTTAGGTTAGGTTATAATAATTTCATTTCATCCCTTAAACATATTTTGCTCATCCTGACCCCTCTCCACTGGTCGATTTTTACATCCCCAAACCCGCCGCATTGTGGAACCGGTCACTGATACCATTCTGATACAAAATTACCCTCGTCAAAGTTTTTAGGCAAATGGCACTCGTACCTCCTGAACTCCTCTACACTCCTGAACGCAGATCGAAGGAATTATACTTATTCTTGAGACAAAAATTGGGACCACATTTTCTTCCAGTAAACCTCTAACAACCTACATAGGACAAAAACAATTATTTTTTCCGTTCAATTCAAATCGTACAAATAATTTACTTCCACGAAACTAACGTTGGAACTCAACTAAACCTCACAAATCAACATATTCTACACCAGCCCCAATAATGATACAATCCCCCAATGTAGGTCACCGTTGCATAATATATAGTATAAGCTGAACTCGCCGCGAGGATTACTCTATGACGGCAGCGGCTGATTGCTCTATGCAGTGACGTCACAAGGACGGAGCGTGCCGCGGAATCCTCCTAATCACGTGGTCCTCAACGTGCCCCCCTCCCCCACTAACCTCCCCTCGGCACCCACCCCTACACGTCAGTGTGCACATTGTTGTGAACGCTGTTATCTAATACGGAGTCATCGGAAGTAATAAGCTTATAAAACAAGGTCGCACCTAATAAAACTCACTCTGAATATGCAATTAGGTGCAGTGAATCATAAGTACTTTACTGTTGAGCAAAAATATGTGCGATGTATCTTTGTAATGAATAATAACACTCTTGATGAGAGTGAGGTAAAAAATTATGTATTGTTATTGACTTTGAATAGGAAATAGACTTTTCATCCTATTGCGAAATCTAGAGCCTGTTCTGATGGGTGCTTCTTGTTAAGGACGCTTGAGTGTGCTGATTTTGACTTATATTTCTCTCTTGTATTAGAGTAGATTTTACAGTTGTGGTTTACCCTCTAACTATGAAACCAGAGGACAGTCCATTGTTTACGAATGGATTGTTTTATTTTATTAAAACAGATCCCGAATTAATTATACGTCATAAAATAATAAATTACAAACCTCTTTTTAAACTGTTCATAAACATATTGTCTTTAGTCATATTAACACGTTGGGTGCTGATGACGGGAATTCCCGCAATTGCTTAACATTGAAATAAATGCAACTTTTATGTTCAAACATGTCGACAGCACGAATAGTGTTAATAAGGATTGTAAATATATAAGGAAGTACTAGTCTGTAGTGGCTAGTAGTACGTTTTCTGTGATGGTGGTCTATAAAACAAAAAACAATCCCTTATTGATTCATCTTCATGGCTTCATGAAGAAAATAAATTTTAAAACGCACTTACTTCTGCACGTCTGCCAGTTACATATAGAGTGAATTAAACGGTTGATTAAACGTTTATTAACCATTTTTTTCTACATTTGCAGCAATGTCGATCAAATAAAACGGTGCCTTTAAAAACGGGTGTTGCCCTATATATTATTTTAACGAAGAGGGTAAAATTTTACATCCAATATAAATATTGTAGTCAAAATGCAATTCTTTCCGAAGAAAAATAGGACACACTTTAAACCTACCCTTAAAAAATATGATTAAAGATCTTTCTACAGTGTATGAAATAAACGCATTAAAATAAACCTAATAATATAAATAAGGATAGATAGTCTACTTGAAACATTCAGGGTATCAAATCTAACAATTGTAACAAATAAGACTAAACCCAAGGGGAATAGAAGCCAAATAGTTACTTGACACAAATCGCAGAAATATTATCTTTTTAGTCCTGATTAAAACTAATTGAAGACAGCAGTGAGGTATGCAATGATGTTCATTCCCTATTGTAACTCTGTATCACATGTTCAGTGCGGTAGCCACAATACCACACAGCTTAACATGTGACCGTTCAACGTGTAACTCGTGGTATTCTCGGACATGGTTTTGGACCGTAGCGTCATTTATTATAGTGTATGCCTATTGTTTAGTTAAACAAAACAAGATACTTTGTTGAGTATAATTACACATGATGTTAAACAAAGGTTATTGAACATTATTTTCAGAGTAAATACGTTTTGAGATAAATTATAGTTGGGTAACGTATTTTACTACGTGTGGTTTTACGGTGCTGAGAAGAGAATAATAATATGATTTTTAGGGTAAAGAAAACAATACACACCCTTTCATTGATGATATAAGCTTAAATGTACCGCTTCGTTTTATCATAGATTAAACATACTTTTTGGAAATTTATCACTTAATTCAGTTCTCATGTTCTTCTATTTATTTCTTGTCATTTACCGCATTTAAAAACCGTTTAAACCCAACAAAATTTACGAACCATTGCGTGTCCCGTAGTATGATGGACACATCATAAAACTTACCTTAAAATAAGAGAAAAATGTTTAGTCGATGTCTACTCAAAATTCACCATCATGAAACACATGAAGCAGCGAGGTATTAGATTTCATAATAGTACGACAAGTCTACTTGGACTATTCAAAAACAAAATTGTGTTACTAAAAAGTCAATATAGCAGATAAAACGTTATATTACTATACAACGCCTTATTGGTGGCACAATTGAAGTTTTTGTAATTCCAAATTCCAAAACTTACTACGATGATTCATGGGACTAAAGCTAATGATATAACAATAGAATTAATGATACATAGGCCTAAATTGATTTGTAGTCAAAGCTGCCATTCAATTAACCGCACAAAAATTCACAAAAGTTAAACTGTTATTTAAACTGCTAATAAATAGCAGACATGTTTGCGTGCGTATGCGTATTTCTGTTGACAACAACATTTCAGTTTCCCGTCTGTGTTTTTGACACTTCTCCAGACCATAACAATGCGTGGGACTTCACTTGCATACAATTAGCTGTTTATTACAGTTTAATTATTTTTACCTGGTGTATAGTAGCCTCAGTTGTATAATTTAACTGCAATGTTTATCTGTAATATTTCAAGGTGATCTAATTGTTATCGTAGGTGGATGGAGTTACTTTCGGAGTTTTGGGCACAATTAGCTTTTTATAAGTTGCATAATAGTTTTTACCTGGTGTATAGGAATCTGTAATTTTAAATCCCTCCCTTTTTAAATGGAGAAATTTGTCAACATTTTCGAGTTCGAGTTTCGGGCGGTACTTAGACTTAAATTGCTAAGACTAGTTCTCTAAGGCAACCATTAAAGTGGTAATATTGGGGGGTATAGAATGGTTTATTCATATTATTGCGTACAGTTCAACCAAACATTTAAGTAAATACTATTGTTTACAAAAACTATTTAAAAACAATAAATCACAGATTTTTAACATCTCCTTAGAGCTCCCGTTTATAATTTATATCCTAATGAGCGTTGCTAAAACAAATAGTTTTACATAAATTGATTAGTGTAGTATAATAAGTAAAGTGCTGAATTAGATAAACTAATTATTAGCCAAATCCAAACCATATTACGTATAATTCGGAAGTTCAGTTAGCTTAGGAATATAACGCAGAATAGAATATTTTTATATAACATAGGACCTACGTCACGGCATCAAACGGTTGTGTAAGTCTAGGTTACGGGATTGTATAAAATATCAATTGTATGTTACAAGCTTTCATAACTCACATTTTCTTTGGATCAATGATTAAGCTAGATGAGTTACATATCATAGGTGTTTTGTACAGTATTTGGTTTTCATAGAGTTGCTTATAACACAGCTTGCATATCGACGTAATAAAGGATTACTACTACATAACTACAAAATATGTATTAACCAGCTTCCTTACAATATTTTAGAACAGACGTGTCTAAAGAAACGTGATTGATTTATTGATAGCTTCATGAGCTTTAATACAATCTTCAGGATGATAACTATAACCGTGTAGAATCGACAGAGATTTCAACCAAAAACTATTTCAACCATCAGTCTTCAAGAGATTTTTGAACCATGAGATTTCTTGTCCTTAAAATATTAAAATGATGGATTTCCCTGGATACTTTACATCATAAAGGATGTTTATGCATCACAAGCACTAAAAAAACTATTTTACCGCATTGACTAGTAGTAGGTCTATGGTAACGGGCAATTGGATTTGTTTGAGATTGAATAATGTTAGCAAACTTTATTTTATTGCTTTAGAGGTTTGTTTTTCCGTCAAATAAATAGACATTTTCTAACATTACCAATATCACAAGACTGACCTGCGATGAGGTATCGTTTGGGCGGCGGCGGCGGCGGCTGCGGCGTTTGGCTCGGCGCTTCATACATCTTATGCTGGGTCCAGCCCTGATGCTGGTGCCACTGGTAGGCGACCTGTTGCTGATGCTGGTGCTGGTTGTGTCCCATGCCGAACCGGAACTGACAATTGTCCGTGCCCATAGCCGCCCCGTACCGAGGCCACACAAGACCCGAAATTCTGACGGTTGAAGCTGCGGAGTTTTTGAACTTAACGATAGAACCGCACACAGTCTTGCTCGCGAAATGTTTGTGTTGGCTTGTGGAAGTCACAGATGATGACGATATTGAGAGGATACAGCACTCGGATCATATCCGTGGGTTGTCGTGATCGCGCCGGGCTGTTCGGACCTCAACAGATAGACAGGGGATGTAAGATATCCTACAACATGGGGTGTCTACTAGCTGGGGTATTTCATGGGTAAGGACTGATGTGGGGAGTTCAACCCATGCACTGACACTAGGCTACACCAACCTTATCTTTTACATCCCATGAGGAAAAAATCCTCAAATCCCTTAAATAAGGGAATCAAGTAATCTAACTTGAATAAACATGCACCTAACCCAGGGGTACACCAACATTAACCATTACACCCTACAACTCAAGATCACTACTACTTCCTGGATAACACATTCCAAGAGGCACCCCATCTAAAACAATTATTTCCCATAAACCGAAATCCCTAACACTTTCGGGTGAAAAAGCCTAAGGTACACCATATAAATTAAGGTAACAGCTGATATGTTAGGATACATTCACACAACAATGGAGTGTCCATATTAAGAGTTTTGCAGAGAAGAACGTTTTCGTTTTATGTTATGGCATGATTGACTATGGGGTTAATGAAGCTAATGCTTACTGTAAAATAATATTATTTACATTAATATTGTACAAACTACATCAATATGCAGCAAACATGCAATGATATGACGTAGTAGATATTACGTAAGACTACTGTATCCATTCATTGATCTCACATCCCCATATTGTACTAATACCTGAAGATCATTAGTTGATAGGGAAATTTTAGTTATCACGTGTTATTTTAAGAACCCACTTTGTCTAATAGATTTTTTCCCATCACACTGAATTTATCTACACTCTAAAGTTATTCCTTGTTTTATGACATTGTACTCATCAATATCCTACCTTAAAAAAAATGGGAGGCCAAAAGGGTATACTAATGAAATGTAAAGAATAAAGAACAAAGTGAAATCTATCTCTATTACACCATAAAATGCCTACCTCTAAAAAAAGGTCCTCGGGGTTTTTTTGGTAAGATGATCTGAAAATTAATCGCGATTTTGTGTGGAAAGGGTGGAGATTATTACACTATTCTCACAGCATACAACTACTCTACTCAATGTACGAAACAAACATCCTCCTTAATATTGTTGTCTCCAGAAATGATACTTGTACTAAGGGTCATTCCTGGAGACAAGTAAAACTTGTACAATAATTATTTTACTATATAGGTTATATACTTTTTGGCTTTTTCGTCAATCTACAGTGTAAAATACACTGTCATGTGACTTTTTCCGCAGAATAATTGCTCTACTTTCAAATAAAATAAGGTCTTCCAAATACATGTTATATAGTTAGTTAGTTTCGTGATATTTCAGTCCAGGGAGACGAAACTCCAACGGACTGAGGCTGTTCTAGGACCATGTCCTCTTCAGTGTCAACAATGTTATCAAAAGAAACATTTGACACAATATAAACATTGATAGAAACAGAAAAAGATGAAGATTAAATACAACAAGATTGACACTTTTGGCTTAGCTAGTCAAATTTAATGTAACGAAAAGATCTGGACACTTTACGAATGCAAGAAATGCAAGAAACCTGAGTTAGAATACAATGATGCTCCAAGAATAGTAATACATACATAGTTGATTAATATTAACGACAAAAAGTATGTAACCCAAAGTAAGTAAGTATATAAGTGTATAAGTAGTAAGTATGTAAGTATGTAAGTATGTTCTATGTGTTGTATATACTCCCTTATACTGTCAAACTATTTAAACTCTCCTTGATACAATTAGGTTTAGAATAAAGTTGATAACAATTCCTACCACCACTTGTAAAAAATGTGAATTACATGCAAACATAATGCATACCATTAGGTAGTTCGGATGAATTTCAAGGGGAAATTGTCTATATTGCGTCCAAATGTACACAAAACTAAACCTATCATCGAATCAGAGTATAGGTGTATGCTAATTTCTAAAGCAACTGTTTTAACTAAACCAATATGTGAACTTTCCCAACCAACAGTTGCATCATGTTGGTCAAATATGCTGTGTAGATGATTAATTAGAAATCTAATTAATTAAATATTTTTTATAAAGATTTTATGAAAAGATATAACTAATCGTGACTAATGCAGAATGTAATAAGTTTTGAGAGAATTCAAATGAATTCCTCCATTATAAAAAAACTAATTTTAGTTTATTTTTCATTTAAATTTCACCAAAATTACAACACATAAAATTAATTATGGGTAATTGTGCTGTAGTAGAATTGCAAATTAAATAAGCCTATGCAAAATAAATATTAGATTTTTACTGTATTAGGGTATTAAATATTATCATAGGGATTAAAATATCCGATAAGTTAGATCTATTGATCAGAAAATGTATTTTTGAATTGGTTTAGTTTTTTTTATGTACTAATATTATAAGAAATTACCTTATGTAAGATTATCTGATTAATTATATCGAATTAGTTCCATCGAGAATACGAAAATGTTTAGTGTTAATCCTGGAAACTTTACTCAAATTCAGAGAAGCTTTTTTATCTTTAGTTAATTTGTATTTTTATAATTATTATAAGTTGGATGAGTGAACGTAGATGAATGATCAAACAAATCATGCCACTCTAAATTATCAAATCACAAAAATTCATGCACTATTATTTTTCTGCATTGTCTTTCCAAACTCCAGTTAAACTTTTAAGAAATTGTTTCTTGGATGTATTTGTTTGTAAACGATTGCAATAATAACTAATTAAAGTTGTCTACAAATACATGTATTAAATTCGCCAAACGTGTGTATTTTATGAAGTTCATTTCGCAATGAAACATTGTAAATAATTACTTTTCAAAATGATTGCAATTTTTATTTTTATAATAATAATGTTTTTGACTAACACATTGAACTACAATATGATGATATATATATTTTCGATCCAAGAAACAGTTTCTTAAATCTCTAGTACTAATCTAGTACTACTACTAATACTAATACCACTGCAAGAATGACTATTATGGAGGAAAGTCTTTGAGGAGAACCAATTTAGACAGGCTATATAAATTGCGTATCAACAATTCACAACACTTCCTAAAAAAAACGAACATCTAGAGACCATTCTGCCACGGAGGTTAAAATTATCCAAACAATATAAATCGCTAGTGTGATAAACCTTTCTTTTAGAGACAATCAGAAAAATACGAGTTGCCCTTAAACGTTGATTTAGCTTGAGTTTAAACAGACTTCAACCCAAAAAGTGTAAACACTGTTTAAAAACAGTGATGATGAAAACAACTATCACAATGAAAATCCCCACTGGGATTTGAGCCCCTTATTTTTACCCCCCCCCCCCCGACATGACCCCACCACCCAAAGTAGCTTCTTAAACCTAAAGGCACATGGCCTCAAACGTGACCCCATTCAATCGTAGCTAAACAGTAAAATAAAGAATTTCTCTGAAGCTCAAAATACTTATTTAAGAGCTATTTAAATAAGGTAAATATTTAAGTTTGTTGTTTATTTTAAACTTAAGGGTATTACACAACACGATCAATTAATAAAACAAATTAATTATCACTCTATATCTTATTTTTTATTTGATAAATGTGAATAATTGATATTATTCATTAGCTATAATGACAGGTAATGTATAGGGCTAAGTTGAAATTGTGCGCTTGTCATATTAGTTACAAACAAAAATTTAAAATGTGTGTCAAGAGGAAGTAGATTAAAATATTGTTTCAACAGCTCATTGATATGGATATATACACGTGTTTTTATTGTTTGAGTTTAAACTGCAACAATGATATGTGAGCGTCGGTGATTCATGTTATTTTCAGTTTTCAAGGTTGGCAGCACGATTCACGTTTGACAACACGTGTCTTGGTCAGCTGATTACGCGAGAAAAACTATTCTCGTTTTTATTTCTTGGGAAAATACCAGTCTACTGGCTCACTGGCTGATCATTATTCAGATCGTCTAGCAATTAATTAGTCCTAACTAATTATGATATTTATTCGATTTGTCATAGGTTGATTGATTGATTGGACTGAAGTGATTATGCAGGTTAGTCTATGACAATTTCATCTTCTTCTTCATTCTATTAATTATTGCACTATAGAAAGTTAAAACCAATAACATTTTCTTTCCAAGCTATCTTTATGAACTTAAGAAAACGATTAATTAGAAAACGATTAATTATTCTTAGTTTTCATAAAACGACTACGATACTTTTAGCCGGATGGAAAGAGGATTATTCATAATACTGTACTAACTAAAATCGATAACAAATAACCTAGTTTGATATGTAGCATTATTTTAGATAACCTGCTTCAAAATATGAGCACGTTTTATTAGTAGAAGTGTTGGGCTGTGGTTAATAAATTATTTAGCCTACGTAATTGATTTATTTTATATATTGTAGAGTGTTTATTGTATTTTACCTACAAATCTCAACGTGAGCTATTGAACGTAAGTATGTATACATATAAACATAGCTATTAAAATGGACGATTTAATAAATTTTAGCAGTTAGAATTGTGTTTATTTTGCTGTTTTGTTACTATCGAAATGTCCAATAACACATGGAAATCCCATTAATTAGTTAACACTATCATATCGCTGGACGGATCCCTTACAAAATATTTTTGGCTGTACTCCCCCCCCCCCCTTTAAATTATTTACGACCAGTTGAATGCTCTGTAACAATAATTCCCTTCCCCTGATTCACATTATTTGGAAGCACACTTACAAATTACCCTCCAAAATAACCTAGGCTTAATCTAAACCAGTTACACATTCAATTTTATCCTTATCCCTCTACCCTTTCCTATGAAATAACCTACGTCTATCCAAACAAGCATCCCCAAAAAGGTAATAAATGACAAGCTTAACCTAGTAAAATCATTCCAATTACCCGAATTTCCCTCCCCAAAATATTGAGTCATTCACCCAAACTTACAAATGACGCGATGCGAGGGACGCGTAAGCGGTCCGCGGCTGTCGGTAGTCACTGATAAGCGATAACAGTAGCAGAATGGTCCTAGCGGCGGACGGCTGACGGCTAGCGGCGACGATGACGAGCGGCGCGGCACTGGCTGACGAGGCGACCAGCCACGTGATCACGTTGCCATACAACGTGACGACCTGGGACGCGACTTTCAGATTAACTTTGACACGACCCTCCTCCCCCCACCCCTTGTAGCATCCCTTCAAGCCAAGGAGAATAGGGCTATTCGCAAAGGTTTAAAAAAGGGAAACAGGTGTAATTTTAGTTTTTATATTGTAATTTTATTTCCTGAGCTTCTGTGCACTTCATTTACAATAAAGTAGCTTAAGGCACTTGACACTGTGACAAAGCTCGATTTTGAATTAAATATAAAAGTTGTACGAAAATGTTTGGTTGTAGACTAATTTTCTACGTTTTTGCTCTTTCGGTTGATAGGGGTTTCAATCGATAAATTGTAAAGTTATATTGTGCAATCAGGAATGTAAGGGCTACCTTTCTAAATAGTCTGAAGTTTGTTGGTAAAATTTTAGCGAATTTCCCTATTACATAATTAGTCATTGATTATTTTAGGGATATAGTCAGGAATGGATAAATAAACGACCTACAAAAATGTTAAACGGCCTTAAAAGCACATAACCTAATATATATGCTTAATTGCAATGGGATTACTTCAGCAATGGCTAAAATAATAAGTTTTTTTCTACCCAGGACCTATTATAAAGGGCTCATTCTGTAGCCCTCCCTACTTGTTTGTTCCATAAAGGCAAGGAATTGATTCAAAGGATTTTATATACTAGCCATATATAATAAGTTGTTTTGTTTAGACATTGCCACACGTAGATCCCGAGATATTTAATTCCGTGGAATAACAACTGTAAGCAAGATAGGAAGAATTTGGATGACTCTGATGCACTTAATAATAAAAATAATTAAATTTCACAAAGTCAGTGCAGTACTAATAAACTATGGAGCATTTTAATCTTAAATAATGTTTTCTGCTTCAACCAGAGTGACTCGCGCTTCCAATCGATCCAATAATTAGGCCTTGGCCCAAAGTTAAATTATAAATTATATATACGTTGTCTTATCTAGGAGAAAATCACATATTCCCATTTTGAAGATTGTACACTCCTGAGAACATTCTAGCAGCCTGACCCGTGACTCTAGGGAGGTCGTACAGGGCATTGGTTTAGTTTGTGGCCATCACCAGGTTGACCGTCCTACAGCTGCTTGGTCGTGGACCTCTAATCCTGACGTCCAAGGGGAATGGTATGGCCTCTCCATCACCTGGCCACGTGATTCCGAAACTCTTCAACTTTCAACCTCAAAGAGTCATTGTTGGTTTATACTTTCCTACCCTCAACCTGTTTCAGTTTTGTTTGACGTTGTATTTTCAAATGTTGACAAATATGTTTGTTTAAGGAGACCAGTGAACAAATTGAGCATTTTTTAGGGTTTGATTCCAAGGCAATGTACTTTTACTTCTCAAAGATTATAATTTGTTTGATACAGTTATTAAGTGTAAAAGTACTAATTTACAATAAATTCACTTTTTTGCAACTAGATGAAGAGGGAAAAAATTCACATTTAAAATCCATTTTCATAAATTAATTCGTCTCTTGTGCATTGTGTGCATTTGTCTTTTGACTGTACTTTAACATTCAACTAAAGGATCATGCAATGGCCAAAGCTGTTCGATTACAATCACATCATATTAATTATTTAAGATTTGAGGTGTAGGTGTAGAGGTTATCAAATAATAAATAATTTTACCGGTCGATCCCGGCATTTTATAGCTAATAAAACTCTTATATGTCTTCGTTTTGATAAAAATATGTATTAGAAAACTCTAAAGCAATATATTTTCTGTTGGAGCGTAAAAAGTCTAGCGAGTGAATTCTGTACTAGGGGTTTGGGTTCAAATCCCTCAGATCAACAATTACATTTACCTATGTGGCAATGTAAAAAAATTATGAAACATATACCTCTTGGGAAGGAAAAAATAATTAACATGTATTGGAAAACTCCTGAAGGCAAAGCGATATGAAAATTAATTAACTTACCATAATTCAGTAGGTAAAAATATATCTACAAATGTAGCAAAATTAATAGTTTGTAAACAATCTCATACTGAATTCCGAAGAATGATTTTGTTTTTTGAATCGCTATCCACACTGTATTGCAAATTTGCATAATTTCGTGTATGCACAATAAAAAAAACAAAAAAAACTATCAAATATGATAAGTCACAAAACACTGATTATTCCCCACAACAATAAAAATAAAGAAAGCCACAAGAAGTAGGAATGGTATATCAAAATTCAAATAGTTACTTAGATGACACATTTCCATAATCTCATGGTAGTTTCAAAAAATTTTCAGCATTATCTTTCTTTATTGTTTCAATGTGAATTGATATTTTCTTTCGTGTTACACTATGAGTATTCCTCATGAACTTTGTACAGTCGAATCCAATTTATTAATGAGTACCTATACTTAGTGCATGGTTTTTATGTGATAGATTTATGATTTAAAACATAATTGTGCAAGTATTTTATACGCTCAAAGGCTTTCTTTTATATAATTACGATTATGTTGAACAGGGACAAAATTGTCGCGTAAATTGGAAGTTGGAAATATTTACCTTAGAAAAATGTCTCACAAATATTGTTTTTTGTTAATAACAGGTTCCTTATGTTTTCTAATGATAGACTCACAATTCACATTAAGATACTGAGTAAGGTGGTCAGATAAACCATTTTGTACAACATAAGGCATACATATATTAGGGCTGAAATTAGTAATAATATTATCAAGACATGTACTGGAGAGAGTTGAAACCCGAGTGGGGACCTTTATTGTTGCGAAAAGTAACATTATTCTGCAAATAAAGTCGCCTTTTGCTATTTTAGTCTCCGACTAAGATCAGATTTTTCTTTAACCAAAATCACAATTCTGCTTCAACATTCCCGGGCGGACTAATTGCGCCAACTGACCTGAGTCAGGTAGTCGGGTATTCCTGAATTGCGCCAACTACTGCAGGGAGCCACCCGATGCTTTCCTTTAACTACACCAAGTGACGGCCCTCTTTGACTGTATAATCGAGTAGGTTAGGTTAGGTTGGGTTAGGTTAGGTTAGGTTAGGATGACATAGGTTAGGTTATAAACAAGGGCATTACTTCTGCCGGCAACCCACCCCTACCTGGCATGGGCTTGGCGCAACTAAGGAACTATTTGCCGCAATTAATGCACGACCGATGTTTCTATCCAAAATCATTGTTCTGCTTTAAACCCCATTCAGTGACACGGGGGCCCAGTTTCAAACAAACTGACAATCTAAATGGCATAATTTCTCAAAAGTGATTGGAACATTCTAACAGTCACAAGTAACGGGTTGGAGTTCGTTGGGTTTTCGCCCTTGTTTACCAAGTTGAATGAAATGTGCATGAGAAAACTGTGTACTGGGAACTGGTCAGGGCGACGCTAGCGCTGCGACGTGCGGTGGCGAGTTCATATATTATTGATAACAGTGGACGGTCAGAAACTCGCGGCCGGCCACGTGACTGCTACCGATAGTTACCGAATACACTGGGTCGACGAAGAAGTCGGTAATACAATGTATCGACGATTCGGTTGTGTTGTTTGTAATGGTAGAGAATATTTCTTCCGATCCAGGCCTAAAATTTGCAATTTCACATATTGTGAAAAAGTAAAACGTTGATGTAATTAGCTCGAATAGTGGGTACTTTCATATTATACCAACCACAGCGATAAATCAACTTCCAAATAAGATTTTAATTAGTTTAAATAACAAAATGTTCCTAACCTATCCTAAGGGTTTTATTTTACCTATTTCGGCGTGGTTTATGTGTGGTTGGTATAATACGAAATTAGGCTTACCAAATAGTGTTTCAGTTTATATAAAAATAAAAATAAAACAACACAAAGACACAAATACAGTAAAATATGAATTGCTAGTTTTCAGCCGAAATTGAAAGCATTCGATAAACGAGTGATTCATTGTTTTTAAATATTCAATTAACTTTACAGGAGAAAAAAGTTGTAAATATAACTTGTTTTACGAAATCCCTTTCTTATTTAGCAGATTTTTCATGTTGTAATTATTTGGTAACATTAGTCTTTGTACAGGGTAATTACAAATTACATTAGGCTAAGATATTAATATTGATCAAAATGAGATAGAGTAATTACGGTCAATCTGTTTAATTTCATTCATTTTTTGTATTCATTCCCACAAGCTGGGTTGTTACAATTATCAATTTAATACTATTTATAAAAAAATATAAGGTTCTTGGGCAAATTTTGTAGTTATTGGTCAATTTTGCACTCATCAATATCATTATCATTCTTAAAGTCAACTACAGTAGGATAACTAAAATAAACTTCATTGTAAGACATTCTATAAGACGCGCATTCAAACATATTCACATTGAACAAACGCAGATATTTGTTGTCCCTTCAAAATTCCTAGTTGATTATGATACCTATTAAGATAAACCCACTTTAGACTATTTATATAATCATTGTTTACTTTTAACGCAAACTTAAGTGTGCTTATATTTCTTCTCAAAGCTTGTTTTACTCCAAGAAGAACACAAACACACGCTCAGCGACTTAGCGTGATTGGAAACTTCTCAGGAAACTGGTTTGCAACTCAACCTGCGTCAAAGTAACGCCTGTCTTCATTTACAAGCTGTTTACTCTCGCAACAATCCAATGTTAAGATAGTGATTTATCTATTACATAATAATTGTCAGAGAATCTACTTGGATGTGTCTAATTACCAGAATACCTCCACGGAAAAGAATACTTCAGATCTACAGATTGCTACGTGATGGAACGTCTATCATTCTTTAATTCGACAACAATTAAATATAAGACTTAAGAAAAATCAACTCTCCCAGGGCTATTCACTCTTTAATATGCTAAGCTTCGTAGAAACATTGACTTTAGATACTGAAAGTAGACTTTTCTTTCCACTCTAAAGCCTGTTTTGATGAGTTACTTGTTTCAATTTTGAGAATCTGATGTTAACTAAATTCTATCAATCA